GCTGCTGACAACCAGAACCAGCTGATCACATGGTCAAGAAGGACCATCAGCATAACAATGGGTCATTAGCACACTGATGGCTGTTTACTATTCACAGAGGGCTGAGTGATACTAGCAATCACAGCATTGTAAGAGGGGGACAGTTGAACCCGGAGGCTCCACCCCTGTTTAATGATGGACGATTTCTTTTCACAAAGATGGCCTCCTTTACTCCTCTCTCAAACCATCGTTCCTCTCTATCCAGGATGTGAACATCTTCATCCTTGAAAGAGTGACCTCTGGCCTGGAGATGAGTGTAGACCGCAGAGTCCTGGCCTGATGATGTTGATCTTCTGTGCTGGGCCATCCTTTTGGCCAGTGGCTGTTTAGTTTCCCCGATGTAAGACTGATCACAGCCCTCCTGACACTGAACAACATACACAACATTACTCTGTTTGTGCCGGGGGACTGGATCTTTGGGATGAACCAGTCTTTAATGTATTTTGGGGTTTAAAAGCCACTGGGACGTTACGTTTAGAAAATAAACGTCTCAGTTTCTCTGATACTCCCTCAACATATGGAATGACCACTGGTCTGGGTCTGGGTTCCTCCTTTTCACCTGATGGCTGACTGGAGTCCTGTTTGGGTTTCTTCTCTGCTTTCAGGAAGGCCCAGTTAGGATATCCACATTGCTCTAGAGCAGGGGTGGGCAATTATTTTTTCCATGGGGCCACATGAGAAACAGAAAATATTGTGGAGGGCCGGCCAAAAGGCTGATCTCAATTCTGCATAATATTAACTCTATTTCTTTATAAAAAGCAGTAAATAGCATTGTTTTGACAAGCTGGTAAGAGTATATGTTATAATTAAGCAATGAAAACATGAGGTTGCCTTCCAAAAAAATGTAATTTATTCAAGCGAATTTCCCAAACAATGGGAATGACAATAAATCCCTAAAACAACATCATAAAAACACACAACACGTGCAAATAAAAATAACCACAATACAATTAAAATCATGCACAACTCAACCATCAAAACATCATTTAAAACTTCTTACATTTTTAAGTTGTATTTTCTTGTTCAGTGAGAGAAATCTAGTCTCTCCTGGGCTTTAACGAGTGCATCAAAATCAGGTTGAATGTCTGAGGTGGAGATGCGAAGCACAGCTGACAGATGATCATCAGTGAGAGATGATCTGTACCTGGATTTCGTGAACTTCATCATTGAAAATGTTTGTTCACATATGTAGGTAGAGCCAAAGAGAACCAACATCTTCTGAGCATGTCTCTTCATGTTTGGAAAGTTCTCCTCTTTGAGAGAAGAGTAGAAATCCAGTAGGGATCCTGATTTAAAGAGCTCTGCTAGTACTGCATCAGACTGCAGATCGATGAGTTCCAGCTGAACATCACTGGGTGCATTATCCACACTGCAGGTAAAGGGAGAGGAAATCATGTGCATTTCATCCTCGATTGTTCTGAGATCTTCAAATCTCCTTGAAAACTCACAGTGCAATGCTCCTAACATGGATGAGTACCTGCGGAGGTGATCGGCTGATGGTGTGACTTCTTTCAGAGTATGCATGTGAGTGACATTGTTGCTCTCCAGTTGGCTTGAAAGAAACAGCATCTTTTTCATGAAAGCCTTCACCAGGGTGTGCATTTCATGAACAAAAAGGCCCCTGCCTTGCAGCTTGGTGTTCAGGTCATTCATCAGTGCTGTCACATCAACAGCAAATGCAAAATCTGCCATCCAGTCCTCATCTGAGAGCTCTGGGATGTCTTTGCCTTTCATCTCACAAAACTCTCGAATCTCTGTTTTCAGGTCCCAAACTCTTTTTAGCACTTTGCCCAGGCTGAGCCATCTGACAGGTGTGTGGTAGCCGATGTCACTATGCTCAGACTCATGGTCCTCCAAAAGTGTGACAAACTGTCTGTGATTCAATGCCCGTGCCCTGATGAAGTTTACTATGTTAGTAACAACATTAATAACATGGTTAATTTTTAGCACTGACTTGCACAACACATGTTGGTGTATAATACAATGCAAAAATACCAATTCCTGATCTGAGTCGATTTCAGACACTTTATCTTGCATACGTTTTAAAAGTCCCACATTTTTCCCTGTAAGATTTGGACAACCGTCCGTTGTGACACCTGCCAGTCTGTCCCATTTCAGTCCCAGTGTGTCCATGCACGCATTCACCTCCATGAAGAGATCGCCCCCTGTAGTCGTCCCTTTCATCGACCGCATTGCTGCCAGCTCCTCCGTAATCTTGAAGTCCGGAGTGATCCCGCGGACAAATACGAGTAACTGGGCTGTGTCACGGACATCACAGCTTTCGTCCAAAGCCAAGGAGAAAAAGTCAAAACTTGCCACTTCACGTTGCAGCTGAAGCTCCAGATTCCACGATATGTCCTCCACCCTTCTCGTCACGGTTCGCCTGGAGAGCGGGACTTTCTCAAATGCTTCTTTTTTTTCAGGGCATATTAAAGCTGCGGAGTCCACCAAGCACTCTTTGATAAACTCCCCCTCCGAGAATGGCTTACTGTTTTTAGCTATTTTGTGAGCTATCACAAAGCTGGTCTTGGTTGCTGCATCCCTGGATGTGTGAAGCTTGGTAAAAAAGCCTTGCTGCTTTTGCAGTTTAGCTAGCAAAGCTTCCGATGTCCGCGCCTTTTCAGCGTCAGTCATGTTCTTGTATTTCTCCCCGTGTTTCGTCTCGTAATGCCGACTCAAATTGTAGTCCTTAAACACGGCGATCTGCTCCCCGCAAACTAAACACACGGCTTTACCCCTGACTTCAGTAAATAAATACTTAGCAGTCCAATTTTTGTTGAAAACCCTGCATTCTTCATCTACCTTTCTTTTTTTAGCATAAGCAGACATTTCTGAGGGCTGAAGTCGTCTTGTGACTTGCTAGTGACAACGATCAAATCACGCGCATGTCTCAATATACGCTTTGCGTCATCATGTACGTAAATAAAAAAAAAACTTCAAAATAAAAACATTGCAGCTTCAGTCCATGCATCAGGTAAAATAAGAAAATATGTTTATTTTGTAATTTCCAATTAACGTTGCACGGGCCGGTCAGAGTCAATCAAAGGGCCGCATGCGGCCCGGGGGCCGTACAATGCCCAGGTTTGCTCTAGAGCCTGTCTTGTGTGGGATTTCTCCTTCTGCCTGGCTCCTGAGCTAGTGGGGACGCTGTCTGCTCTGTGATACAGAGTCCTGATGACTCCTAACTTGTGTTCCAAAGGGTGATGGGAGTCAACCTGCAAATACTGGTCTGTGTGGGTGGGTTTGCGGTACACCTCAGTTTGTAAATGTCCTCTATCAGAGACTGAGACCTCACAGTCCAAGAAAGCCAACTTGCCATTTTTTACATCTTCTCGTGTGAACTTGATGTATTTATCCACAGAGTTGATGTGGTCAGTAAAATGTTGGACTTCCTGAGAGTTAATTTTAACCCAGGTGTCGTCAACATACCTGAACCAATGACTTGG